TCAAGGTGAATTGCATCCTTCAAGGCATCTAGGGTCTTTCCTTGAACTACCCTAGGCTTAGCATCACTCCAATAGAGCACATTCTGCTTATTTACCCGCTCCAGGAATATGGAAGTGTGCCTCGTCACTAAACAAAACCCGAGCAGCATGAGGTAGTCCCGCAATTAAGATTTCACATGCCTGCATTCGTTGTTGCCAGTCCCTTTGTGTGAGTTCATGAGCAACTACCATCTTGTATAGATGGAGGTGTAAGTGCTCATGGAGAATACGGGGCACAGCACGATTAGACAACGCCAGCGCGGATGCATGCTTACAAGGAGAACTTTGAGGAGACTGCAAAATCGATCTTCTGACAAGGTCAATGTTTTCAGGACTCCGGACCGTTCTTTGAGCTCCAAATATCCTTCGCAATACACCACCACATACACGAAAGTAATTCACCAACACCAAATTGTAACAGCTTTGCGACAGGCCACCCGATAACCCGACAGCCAATGGTAGCTGCACAGCAACAATAGACAGATTTTAGAAAAAAATACATCTCCAGTGCAAAAGCACATTGGTCACTCGAACAAGCCATATCTACTACTGATAGTGATATTTTAGAAATTCCCAAATCAAAAGCTTCATTTGAGCCTAACCCCATTCCTCCAGCACACCCCCACTACTCACAGTACCATCTTAAAAGTAGGGATATTTCCCTGCCCCACCCTGTATAATTCAGTTTTAAAAATCTTTGTACAACTAAATCTAGAGTTCTACTGGACCGATTTTATTAATTAATGGGTCGTTGGAAAGCTTAAGTCGTGTAGATTTGCAAATAATTATGAAAGTTTGTTTTTGTTATGATTTATGGTGATAAATTAAAGAAAACGTGTTTTCCATAAGAAATACGTTGGAAACGGTGTTTTTCACATTTTTTATTTTGGCGCGTCTTTTAGCTGCCATTTTTTAATTTTTCCAAGAAGTGCATGTTATCAATTCGTAGAAAATTTTATTCTCTTTGAGAATATCACCTTCCACTTTCGTCGATTTCCTCACCATTTAAAAGTTATTTGCAAAAAAGCTAAGCAGCCTCCGAATTTATAGTAATGAGAAAATATTGAGTTTGGGATATTTTTGTTAAAGATTGTACAACTAAATCTAGACTTCTACTGGACCGATTTTGTCAATTAATGGGTCATTAGAAAGCCTAATCCATGTCAATTTGCAAATAATTAAATAAAATTGTGATTTATTAAATAAAAATGTGATGAAAAATTAAAAATAACAAAAATACATAAAAAACTGGGTTTTTCAAGTTTCTATTTTCAAGATTCTATTTGTAGCCAGCTTTTGGCTGCCTTTATTAAGTATTTTCAAGAATTGCATAGTAGTTATTTGTAGTAAATTTTATTTTCTTTCAGAATATATCATTCACTTTGGTCGATTTCCCCTCCATTTAAAAGATATTGGCAATAATCTAAGTGATCTTCAAATTTATAGTGGTGAGAAAATACTGAATTAGATATATTTTTGTTAAACTTTGTACAACTAAATCTAGACTTCTACCGGACCGATTTTGTTACTTAATGGGTCGTTGGAAAGCCTAATTTGTGTAGATTTGCAAATAATTATGAAAGTTTGATTTTATTAGGTTTTTAAGGTAAAAAATAAAAAATAAAAATAATACATTTAAAACTCCTTTTATTCCAGATTTATATTTTCAATTTTATATTTGTAGCCAACTTTTGGCTGCCTTTATTGAGTATATTCAGGAAATTCATATTAGTAATTTGTAGGAAATTTTATTCTCTTTCAGAATATCACCTTCCACTCTGGTCGATTTCCTCGCCGTTTCAAAGTTATTTGCAAAAACGTTAAGCAACCTCCAGGTTTATAACATGCTGAATTAACGATGTTGTTGTTAAACTTTGTACTATTAAATCTACAGTTCTACTGAACCGATTTTATTAATTAATATGTCATTAGGTAGCCTAATTTGTGAAGATTTGCAAATAATTATGAAAGTACTGTTGAGGTTGCAAAAAAGATCGTTTGGCTATAAATCGATGATAAATAACTCAATTTTTTTAACAATTTGTGTTGGTCGTGATTTAGCTGCGTGCTTTAATGAAATGGAAGCTGGTGAAGAAGAGAAGAATTTGTCAACAAGAAATTGTCTGTGATGCCCTTAACCTGTATTTATATTTTTCAATGTCTGTTATATGTTAAAAACAACTGTGATATTTTACTTTGTAATAAGGATGTGCACAAGTATGCCACAAGGAATTGTAATAATTTAAGAATAGATCAGTGCCTTTATGCCATCACTCAAGCTAGCTTCAAATATACCGCTACCAAATTGTACAACAAGTTACCAGTTAAAGTTAAAAAGTTACCATTACATGTTTTTAAAGTAGCCATCAAGAGAATTCTTCTAAAAAACTGTTTTTATAAAATAGAAGATTATTTTGCCTCAACCTTAGATTAGTTTTAAGTTGTATTATATTGTTGACGCAGCCTATACACTATTGTACTTTTCACAATTTGTGTCTATGGAATAAAGATGATTTGATTTGATTTGATTTGGTATTTCACTTAAGGTTTTTAGACCAAAATGTATCATGTAATTAGAACTGCTGGATTACATCTTTAATTGAAGAGAAACAAATTCTTTCGTCGAGTAATACATTAGATGAATTAATGATGATGCTTGATGACAAATATGTGCTTGCATAGCTTTATTTAAAGACCAAAATTATGAAAATCGGGCAGGTAGAAGAGCCCTCCTTTAAACCATTGAAAAGGAAAAAAACCTGCGAAACATTGAACTCGAAAAAAACAAATTTAACTCCCATAAGAAATGTTCAGGGAGGCAGTTTGTGCATAACTCAAAATATACGTCAAAATAAATGCCGATGCTTGATGGCAAATCTGCGGTACGTTTAAGGTACCTTTAGTTTAAGGCAAAAATTATGAAAATCGGTTGGGTAGAAGAGCTAACGAGACTCGGAAAAGAAAAACCATTTATTTTTATAGATGGCAATAATAAGTTTACCAGTATGCATAATGTAATCATAAATCTAATGGGAATTACAAGTTACAGCTTGTAACTTGTTAGTTTATTATGAAATGGGCCCCAGGATTACAATGAATTCGCCAATACCTACCCGTTGTAGGTTGGAGCAATTCAGGAGTCTCACACTACAGGCTGGCTACCTGTGTGCGTAAAAGTATTTTCCCTCCTCTCCCTTAAAAAAAACTGGAATGGATCACTGTGGACTCCCATATCTCTTGATTCCAGTTAACCTTGTAAACATCGCAAGCTACCCTTCTCATTGATAGTAGTACTCCAATCCTGGAGTAGATGGAATGAACATGGACAGTGGCTAGCTCTGTAACAGAGCAATCTTGTCCCAATATAAGAACAGGTTGTTTAATTTATCAAAAAACCAGTAATCAACAGAGAAGAACAACTTTTAACACAGGCCTCAGGCAGATCGACAGAATCCATTAACTCTACCTACCTACACTACCTACGTTACGTTGTTACGTAGTTCCTAGACTCTGTCACAGATGCTGGATTGCCTGCTTCCTAGACAATACTAAAAGTTGGAGCCCAAATAAAATTCTTTTTCCTACAGTTACCTAACAATGTACATGTTCTCTCACTGATTTGAGAAAGCAAAGTGGCTAATTCGCTCATCAGTGAGTCTCACTCTAATTACTTTGTCTCACTCCAGATTTGCAACGTGAAGGCACGAAATAGTGAGCGCGTAACACGCAGGCAACGTCATATGCGCGCTAAATGCGTTGGCAGCACTGGCTGTAAATCAGCTGGTCAGCTGTTGTACTGTTGTATTTGTCTCTTCACATTAAATGTTTTATTAAAAGTTCACTTCTGTGTAAAAATAGGTTATGTTTCTTCACAAATTTATTTGTTTTATGGTAACTGTAGGAAAAGTATAATGTGCAACTCGAGTTCAAAGTACAATTGCCTCACTCGAGAAACCATTCCTCTCGAGTGAGTCAATTGCTCACTTTTCTCACTAGTTGCACAAATAACTATTGTGTTATTTACATCCACCAAAACCCTACATCCACCTAAGCAATGGAACTTGTCTTTTAATTGTTTTCCCCAGGTATGTCGTCAAAGCAGAAGGGATGCGGAGCAGGGAATGTGATATTTTACCCTCAAATACTACCATAAATAGAATATAGGTGAGCTGTAATTAATTAGATAAACTCAATTAAATGTTTTATTTAATACCCAGCAACTATCAATTTTTTCTGGTCACTGTATGATTAGCTACCGTATGACCATTACGGTACAGTCATGGTACCGTATATTGAACGGTACCGTCAAATCACGGCACAGGGTCAGATCAAGGCAACACTGTGTAGCCTGGCCAGACAGTGTTTACAGCTGGTGTTGAACTGAACAGATAAGGGAGTTAGGCCTACTCCCTGCTCGAACAGCGGAACAGATGTAGAAAACTATTTTCAGTCAAAAATCTATTTCCGCTAAACCAAACCCTTGGGAATAAGAATAAAAAACTGAACAAATAAGTCCTAAGTTTTAGCATTGTTAGGTAAAGAGATACCTCGTTCTACTTGTTCAGGGTACCTCAACTTCGATATTTGATCCATTCCATTTGGTTAGTATATTTGGATAGTTATAGTCTGATAGTTTTTTTAATTAATTCCTTAAAATTAATTCTTCTTATCTTAATTTATTTGATATTATAATTCCACATGTTTGTTATAACCTATAAGTCTAAATGTGGGAATAAGTGGAACATCTTATGCTCCAGGCTCCCTCCTCCATTCCCAACTTAGGCTGGTCCAACAGAGCACAACAGAGCCAATAATCAGCTCTGACCCCACAGAACCTTTCCTTGTTTTCTTAGTTTTGCCAATGAATACAAAAATTGGTTTTACTACTTAGCTTACTCTCAGCAACTAAGCTTTTGAGGCTGTAGGTCTGCATTCTTGGGGAATAGTAAATTAAACACATATTACAAATTATATAATCAACCTTTGTCAAATATATTTAATTTAAATAAAAGTGAGTCAACAAACCTTTATGTGATGCAATTAACTTAACAGCACTGCAGATAAAATTTTAAAATAACAACACTAAGTTCAAAAAGCTAATACAATAGATACAACACTAGTCTGCAGGTACTGTAACTATACATGGAACAAGTGAGTTAGTGGTAGAAATACTCTACTATTGATTGGATTTTATTCTTTCCTACAATAATCTAAAAAGCTTAAGATAAGGAAACTACAGTCATACAAACATCATTTTTAACAATGCCTGAATGTAATATATGTGAATGGGCATTAAGTTAAAATGTATCTTTATTCATGTTTTATGATGCCTTTGCCTTCAATCTTTCAATCTACAATATTGAAAATGTTTGTGTGGCTGTGGCTAGAAATTGAACTGTCCACATTTTTATTTATATGTAATTAGCTATCCTGTCTTTGACTGATAGCTAAAAAAGTATGCAGCTTAAAGTAGCTTGGAGTTGTAAAAACAGTCCAATAAATAGCATGAACCGAAGTATCACTCGGATTTCTGAGATAAGTACTGTATTTGCATGTGACGCACTATGGGCCGAGTCCGAGAGATATTTGCGCCTCCCTCTCTCCCCTTCCTTGAGGGAAAAATTGTTCTCTTCCTTGTAACCCCAACAAACCGTAAAACTTAGAAACCTCTTGCGCCCCTAGGGCCGGTAAGCAGCCCTCTATGTAAAATACCAGATCAGCTGATTTATGACTATTCTCTCTCTCTCTCTTTCGAATATTAGCTCCCTTTTTGCTTGCGAGTGATGCTCATGCAGACAATTTTAGCAACCTGTAGAAACGTGTATTTAAATGAAAATAGTACCTATTATCATTGCCTATACACTATTATTTTTTAGACTGTGACCCAACTCTAAAGTTTAGCAATAAATCAACTTGGCTGACAAAATTAACTCCGATACTATCATAAATAAAAGTGCAATTTGCCAGCACTTGTAAACTATCTAGTTTCTTTTTGTTTCTATTGGTGGCACACCAGCATTTAGGATGATGGAAAATCTATTTTTTTAAATACCGTATTGGGTTTCTAAGCAAGCATTCCTCCTTTATAGTCATATCATTACACAAAACACAAATCCTCCACCCTGCACTTTACCAAATAGGCCCATATTTTCAGTCAAAGTGTAAGTAAAAACCTGATAGTTTCTCTCTACTTTTCAATACATATATATAGTTCGTTAGTGTTTAAACGCTATATAATTAGTTGTTTCTGGTTGTTTAAACATGCAAATTTCCAAATGTTTAAGAATATAATCTTCTGTTATTGCTTATATAAAACTGTAGTAAATTTGCTTTGAGCTGTTTTTTTTGTTTTTTTTTACTTTTGCAGGCTAAGGAAAATCTTAAAGGAATATTAAGACATAGCTTAAATTAATTATCTACCAAATTTATTGCTTGGATACTTTTAGAATAGTTAAACAAATTTCATTCAAATCAATAAAATTTAACCAGCTTCACTTAAGTGTACACATATCAGTACTTTATTTTAAAGTAATCTAAGGCAATAAATACAAGCTATAAATGTAAAGCTGATGAAATGGATCTTATTAATAATTAATAGGATGTCCTTTATTTTACAGTACTAATGCAACATGATATAAATACATTTACACTTTTACAGTAAACAAAGATTAAAATCTAAACATATAAAAGAAAATTGATGCCATGAACCAATGAAAAACGGTAAGAAACCGGTAAGAAACACAGGTCTCATGATCACACGCTTTAAACATTTACACGGTTGTGCTACAAACTTGTGGTTTTGTAAAGGCAGAAATTTATTATTGTATTAGCTTGGCTATAGTAATTGTTAAAATCAAAAAGAGGTAGCAAAGTCTATGAAGTATTGATGATTTCCACTCTACTAAAACAACTGGTATATTATACTTTTTAATGGTGAGTAGTCTGGTTTACTTTTAACAAATAAATTGTGTAAAGGCCTAATAATAATAATAAAAAAAAACACTTCCAGAGTACATATGTAAAGGAACTATTTTATAGGATTGCCTGCAAGGAGATGAGGCTTCATGTTCATGTAACCTTACTAACAGCCCAGTCGCCCAGTGCCCAAACAGTATAAACATGAGATCTGTTTATCTTAACATTTAGAATTTATCAGTATAGCTTATAAGTTTACAACCTAATGTCACCAATATTAATTGATATAAATTAATTTTGATTATCTCAAAATTCTCTCTGGGAGCACAAAACTTGAGATTCGTAACAACAAATTTTCTTGCAATATAATTCAAACTATTCACTATACAGATACTTTGAACGGGGTAGAGGTTGAAGAGAATTAAGTGTTTCTTGATTTAAACCTACTTTAAGAATAGTAACAGAACATAGTACCCATGGAAGTTTTAAAATTATAAGAATAAGAATGTTCTATAGGTATTTTGTTTATCAGAATTTTTTCACGTGGATTGTTTTGTGCTCCATAATGTAACTGTATATCAATTAATTATTAGGACTAACACTGATAACATCAAAATAAAGTCACATTTACCGTAATGTATCACATCGTCATTAATGTTGTCATTGGTGTTTTATTGAAATGTACAAAACTGTTGATATGATGGGGGATCACAGGGGTCGTAAGTAATAAAACATACAAAGTTTTCCTAGCAAAGCAATGTTAAACCTACAAATGGCAAAAGTTTGTACAAGTAATAAATATAATAATTACCAAGCACATGTCCACAATGGCAGACAGAAAAACTAAGCCAGTATCAAGGGAAATTCTGACACTAAAATTTTTACACTAGGTTTTTGGAGTAACAAAAAAATCATTTTTAGTAGGAATTGCAAAGACACAAATACACCACATTGGTTGTCAAGCTTCTTAAACTACCTAAACAATAAAGGAAATACAATTTAACTACTGTAGCTGATATAGCTGACACTCTGATAAAAGTTTGATTTATTGTCGGTAATAATAAAACCATACTATCTTATGCTTTGACCCAGTGAGCTACGGAGTACAAATAGTCAGATTTAGTTATCTTTGGTCACAACATTGCTATTAATTGCTGCGGAAACAGTTGTGAGGAACACTTGTCACAAAAATAACTTGACTCGGTATAACTTTAAAAACTGAACAAATCATAGCACAAAATTGAGTGATAGGTTACTTTTGACTTGGCTACATGCACCCTGCAGCTGATAAAAGTCCAAAATCAAACCATAGAGATCAAATTTATCTAAAAGAAGTGTAATAAGTGTCAATTTGTGGTCCTTCTAAACAATTATGAATGTTATAACCTAATTTTAGAGTTTCTCCTTGGTTTTACTTAGCCAATCAATAATAAATGTTCAATGGGAAATAGAGTGTAATTCATCTTGGGTCTCTCGGAATTCTGAATTCTGATTGTCTACTTTAACAGTAATTAATCCCATGTTCATATTACCAATTACTCTACCCCTTTCACTGGGATTCCTCTAACCAATGGCTATTTATCAATTCATCCTAGTTTAGTGAAATTAAATTACCATTTGATTTTTTTTTTTATTGAAACTGAGGTGCAAATTCAGTTTTCCGTTAAAGCAGTTTTTTTTAATTCCTCTAGCAATAGGTGGTAGTGATCCCCACATTGAGAGAAACCCAATGAGGCCAAAGTATTTATTATTATACTACTACTAGATATTTTTTTTTAATCCCTAGAAATAAATCCTGAATACTGGGTACTTAACTATGAGCAAACTAGTAATCTTAAATAAATTCTTTATTTTAAATTATCAACTAGCCACTTAAAATAGTCTTACTCTGATCTGTGGTAAATTTAGTGATTTTTATTTAGAAATAACACCTATTTTTAGGATTAAAACTGAAAATTCACATTACAAGAGGAAGAGTTGAAAATTGTTAACTTTTTAAAATGATTATAAGTTAATTTAATTAAATAAATAAATAGAGACTACTTTTAATATACTAAGAATAATTAAAACACGGTACGGTCATGAAACAACTGTTAGATTATTATTCATCACTTGTTAGCATTGAAACACAACTACTTTATGAGTAATATTAATTACAACTAATTCAAGCTATGGATGGAATTATTAAACATTTACAACAAAGTTAAAACTTAACTTACAAAAGCCTACTTACAAAGTTATTATACAAAATTATAGTAGCAAATACAATATTTTTTGTAAAATTCATCTATCATACCTAGGACCTCAACCATTTCGATGTGTTAGAAAGAACAAAAAAACTGTTGTAAGAACATTACAATTGAGAAATATAAGATGTACAGTAGTGATAAACCCAATTAATGATTGTTTGTCATTACTCTAAAATACCAGTGTGAATGTGATATATGGTTGTTCACTTTTCCAAATATATCATCTTAGTTTTATGCATTGTAAAAAATATGAAATTTGTTACTTATTTGAAACAGAACGTGAAATCTTTTATTTTATTTTTTACATGGTTATTCGTTGTTAACCAATTTTGTGAAAATTTGAAAAGAAAACTATTTTGGAAGTTGGAAGAAAAATCTGTATTAGAGCATCAAGCATTGCTGTTGATATTAAAATTTACAGTATTAAACCATTAAAAAAACTCATATGACATATCAGTAAACCTATAAGGTAGAAGGACTGTAGTGGCCACTGTGTTGTCTTCTTTTATATTAATAAAAGTGGTTCTTAGTTACTAGTAATGATAACTTTAAATTCTATTCTTACTCTAGTCTAGATTAGAGGGTGAGTTCATGTATTAAGTAGAAATTAACCACATTGTCTCATTGTCATTGAGGGAGGGATTTTTAATAATGGTGTGGTGCTATTTTTATGTATTTTTTGGATTTGTAACTATAGAGTTTTTATAAAAATTTTAGAGTTTGCGATAGGTCCTGAGGTTGAAAATTATACAAAAATGATTGAATAATAGGCTACATAGGTCCTAGAATGCTATTAACATTGATAATGAATGTAGGTAATCTAAAGTCAATGCAATAAATTAACTTCCTAAAGGTTAGGTATTAAATACAAACAGAGTGGAAGCATGTGGGTTTTTGAAAGCCAAATTGCCCTGAATGTTTCTATAAAGCAGCCTCATTAAAATAAAAAAGCAATTTGTATAATACACTTAGTTTAACAACAAAAACAATATTTATCATCAACATAAGATGTTTTAAAACGTCTTTCTTAGGTACATAGATAAAAACCGTTAACATTGCCATAAAGACTCTCAACACCTGGGGAGTAGAGGAAATGTGTAAGTGGTGACGTAGGTACTGTGACTGTGTCACTAAATTTGAGGTAAAAATAAAGTCAATTCTACTTGCTTGATTTATACCACTCACTCATAGGCTTTACATAGTCATATCTCCACCTTTTTAAGTGAGTTCTTAAATTAGTTTGTCCGTCCCGTCTACAGCTTACACTTTATGATATGCAACAACATTCTCCAGAAATGGTTTTGTTTCATTTCAGAGTCTTCGTGTCAATGTTACTGATTTAACTGTCTTCTAAAATTACGATAATTATAATTAACACTCAAAATATGTCAGTTATTTAAAATATCGCAAAATTAATCTGTTGGTAGTAACCATAAAGCACAATATCATTTTTAGCTCGTACACATTCATTCCCACAAACACTAACATACAAACGCACACAACACAAGTATAGAACTGACAATAACACTCTTACAACTAGGATTGAAAAAATATATACAGTTGTGTTAGTGTAGGAAAATAGCAGAGGTATGGCAAGGCATCTCATCTATGAGTAGTTTCTCAGCTACTCAGGTAACACTCAAATGCTTTAAAACATTTCTGTGGACTGATAGTTTTCATTAGTTTTATATTTACCAATATCTTGTGTTTTTTTAAACTACTTGTAGCAAGGATCTTTACAAAACTGAAGGTATGTTAAAGTATTATTTGATATTACATTACTTTAAACACTCTGTTAAAATATCACTCAATAGTGTTCCTATTGAGAATGTGAACAATTACAATTTAAAATTAACTCACTTTCTAGATCTACATATTCTTGGAGTTTTTCTTTGGTTGACAACTAAAGTAATTGTATACTCAATTCATTTGTTCATACTTGACCTCCATTTGGTTGTTGAGGAAAGGATAAATAACAAATGAACAAGTGAAAATAACACTCATTATCAACAATGGCAGTGATTAAATAGGCAAAAACCCAAACAATAAACCAAAATTTGATGGATATAAGCATGAAATATAGTTTCATGATGTTTTGACCTTCTTCTCAAATGGATTTTCATACTATCTCAGGTGGGGTTTTACTGGCACGTTAGGTATGTGCTAAAAACTAATAACTTCCTGCAAAAAGACAACTGATGATTTTGCCAAACCACCTGACTTAAAATTTATTTTACATTTAAACATATTCTTGCATCATAAAGCAACAACTTTTGACTAAAAAATGCTAAAACTGTTAAAACTATTGCACATCTATATTTTGATATACCTACTGTAGAGGATTTTTGAGGTACTCTTTGTTTAATATCTACAACAAATTGCCTACAGTGTATTTTAAAGGAGGTTTAACAAAAAAGAGCAATGAACTCAAAGTATAAAATCATTTCGTAATTCTAGGTGACCTGAACTAGAAGCAAGCCGGTGTTACGACTATCATCCACACGCCTTGAGATCAGATCGGTCAACAGTAATAAGCGAACCAGTGTTAACAGGAATGGAGCTGTTATAACACGCTGGCCCCAATAGCAGACATGGCCAGCACCATGAGCAGTCCGGGTGCTATTGTCGTGGAGGCAGGATTGCAGATGTCACCCTTGCAGGCGCAATACAGCATCTGCACATCGTGGGTCCCCGACCTCCTCACGCAGGACTTCTCTTCTCTGTCGGGGTCCTCTATGAATCCACAGCTACGCACAACTCGGATCTTGCCATATACTGCAACAGTCAAGGAGTAAGATCTATTTGAAATGTTGAAACTATATTTATTTGAGTGGTTGGCTATCTACTTTTTTGTTTGCTTGAACAACATTCTCTAGTTACAGTAGGTGGACACAGATACTAAGGGGCATTAAACAGGTGACGCACTCATATTTGATCGATGAATAATCCCTTACTACCTTGTTTGAGGTTTGAAGTAAGACAGCACATTGTTAAGAGCCTTTACACACCTAGGTTGAATAGAAAGAGAACTAATGCAAAATAATGGATTCAATTAACTAACTGCTTGCTTGACCAAGCTTATGGTTTTCTAGAACCAAGTTTGGTATCCAAATGCTAGACGAGGGACTAAGATGCATGCAGTTAAGTTTTCTAAACTATCCTAGTTATAGCTTGCAAAAATATGTTGAAAGTGACGCTTTGCAGCCTTTGCAGCTAAAGACAGTTGACAAACTGAATTTGGAATTGAAATAGAACATCTAGTCCCTCTTCCATAGAATTGTTGTGATTTACATGTTTTTTTTTTTAATTGGCGCTATAAATTTTTGGCGCTCTGGGCTATAGCCCAGTCAGTCCATACACAAAGTGGGGCATGTTTAGAGATTACTAAACAGAGACCCTTCACCTTATTGAATAAACTATATTACTTTATGATGATGGACAAAGGACATTAAAGTATTATATTTTAATTTTAATACACGGTGAATGGGTTCTCAATTCAGGGTGGGCTCGGGATCACCGGGTTAAAACCATAATATATTACACATTGAATTTCCATTGGTGGTTGGCAGGACAGAAGGTCTATTATACTGAATACTCTAACCAGCTGGGCTTTTTTCATTACATAGAATTGCTTTATAGTCGTTTCAGTTTGAAGCAGAACAAGGAATGTGTACTACTATTGTATTTTTACACCTGTGTGTGTGTGAGAGAGAGAAAGAGAGAGAGAGACAGAGTTCTTGTGTACAGTAATTGCTAACCAACTGGATGGTGTGTTGTTAGGTAGGTCTAAATGTTTTTTTTTCAGTTTATTACATAAGTAACATAAGTATAAGAGCTGCTATTTGCTGAAAAATTAAGCTCATCAACTGGCAGCCCTGCTTTTACTACAGAACATTAAGACAACGATTCATAAAATACCTTTCTGGACATTCTTGCGACAGACAGTGGGCTCCATGTATGGCAGGTGCTCTAGGGGAGGCTGCATGGAGCAATTAATCTTCCCCAGACTGTAAGGGTCGAATGGATCACCACAGCGAGGGTCATAGGCAGAGTTGCAATGGTAGCAGATGATGGACTCCACACCTGCACAACATCAATGTGATCAATGGATCGTTTTGAAGAGTTAAGGTGGGCACTAACTGAACACACAAGGATCAAGTGCAGCCATCTGCTGAGTTTGGCAAGGAAACCTATGTGCTTAAAAGAGTCACATTGGTACAGACATTATACTTTAATACTTTTAATTGAAATGGCGACCATTTGAAGGTAGGTACCAGTATTTTAAGCAAAGTATGAATGGAGATGAGTGTAGGATGATTGACGAGATCTTGTAGTCTTGTTACTGACTAAGGACGTGTTCCTTCCTTAGACAGGACTGTTTGTTAATTAATAGTCCATACAGTCAATGGCAACTAAGGGAAAGGGACATACAGTTTATAGCGGAATCTGAACCACATTTTTGCCTTAATACTACAGTCTTATTTCTTGACATGTAGTATTGATAAATCATAACAATATTTATATTACGAAGAGAATTTCGTAACCACATAAAATAAATAGGCACTCTGCACCTATCACAGGCATTTTGTTTTGTCCAAACCATCTAAGTTCACAAAACTTCCTTGACTTAGTTATTTTTATTCGGCCAATTATAATGTTATTTAAATGTTCGTTGGCAAGATAGTTCAACAAATGTTAGTAACCAGAAGAGTTTTATTGTTACAGAGAAGTCGTGCGGAGGGTATCTGATCTTTTGCGGCTTCTCTCATCCGATTAACGTGTCTGCATAACTCCAGTTACTGCCAACCCTACAAAGGAACTGGCGCACACACAACTGTAGTTTTTAGAAACAGTTTAATATATAATGTAGATCCATACGATGCTGACATATCAGAGCAAGTGTATATTTTATGACTAAGCCGAGCAAAGGACGAATGTTAGAAGAATGAGATGACAGCTTTATTACTGACTATTGTGACTGTAATCAGCTGGTTCTTTGGACCATGGACAGCTGGGTTAGTTGTGAACATTCACAACATTTCAGAATTTTCAATTTTATCAGATCAAACTTTTTGCTTTTTGAAGTTTTTTATTCTGTGGTAAGCACTACAGAATACTTTTAGCATCAACATTTTTTTAAAGGGTATATTTATAGGTACATCAATCTCAATTAGATTATGCTTTTGGACTTTTTGTCATTTCCAATATTAATAGCTTGCCTGATCCCACTATAGCCTGCCTGTTTCCACTATAGATTGCCTGTTCCCACTATAGCTTGCCTGATCCCACTATAGCTTGTCTGTTCCCACTATAGCTTGCCTGATCCCACTATAACTTGCCTGATCCTACTATAGCTTGTCTGTTCCCACTATAGCTTGCCTGATCCCACTGTAGCTTGCCTGGGGCAGACCTTCCCTAATCCCCTCCAGTCCTCCTTGCTATAGTTTATTAATTTTTAGTTAATTTGTTCTTTTCCAAAAATTTTTCATATAAATTAAGTCTCTGCCGGACAGAAAAGTTTATTCTCTCCTACTGCAGTGAATTTAGCTAGGAGCAGCTGTTTCAACTACACAAGTTGGTTTTATGATATTCAATAGCATTAAAAGGTTATAAGGTTTACTAACAGGGTGCAGCACTATTAATTCTTTTTGCGTTTATGACAACAGCTAATTTGAACCAAAGCAGCAAAACAAAAAGCTGTGAGAACTTAAATTTTTTCTATTGTTTAGGTGCAGTGGTAGAACATTATGGCTATAGTAGATGCTATACTATAGTATACCGTAAATTATAGTAAACAAAATTTTCTTAAAACGTGTCCTCTGCCTTTGCAAATGCAAAGCATGACTCTCTATAAACTATCATAGATAATAGTGGTATTAGTCTCTAGGTTAACAAGTGGGTAAATTCGTAGGAATGGAAGTAGCTTAATGCTGTCACAAGAACAGAGCCAAATAAAATTTTTAAATTTGTTTAGTTTTTTTTAGTTTTTTTTTTTAATACCAAATATACCAAAAGCTTAGTGAGCTGTTTATTGCAAAATGGCCCTAAAACTAAATCTATCTACAGCAAAACATATTTATAAAAATACCATTAACTTTTTTTAATATTAATGTTTACGTTCGTTATAGTCGTGACAGAATTTTGTGTTTTTCCATAAAAGATGCTGTATTAATAAATACCCCCGCCGCAGCAAACCTGCCGACTAAGCGAATTTCCATTTGTCTGAATTGATTTTCAGTTAAATATATTTTAATAACATTAGGTTTAACGAGTACCTAGGTTTGCTGCTACAAGGAAACTAATAAAGTGTGTTTTTGAGTAAAATATTGATAGCTTAGTACAAAATAAATAAATTTGCCAAGTTTGATCAAAATATATTCATAAACAAGCAAACTACAACATTTGACAATTTTCTCCATAAGAATAACATGGGAATTTTAAATTTACAATTTTTTTAATTTTCTCCGTTACTAATATTCGAACAAAAATACTTTTATATACTAAATTATTTGTTTTTTTAAGCTCTTTAAAAAGGTCTAAAGAGAAATTGGGAAATTTTGTGTTTTGAGGGTCAAAAGTGAGAAAAACCAATTTTTACCCCATAAAACCCCCCGTAAAGCCCCGTTCCCATGGTCCGATCGTGCTGGTTCGCGAACTCATTCAAGTTTATCCCGCTTTACACCTTTAAACCAAATTTCATCAAAATCGGACAAAAATTACTCAAGTTATCGCGTTCACGGACGTATATATATATATATATATATATATATATATATATATATAAAAGTCTATATATATATATATATAAGTCTATATATATATATATATATATAAGTCTATATATATATATATATATACAGGGTGTTTTTTTAAAAACTTGCATCTTTATTTATGTAAAAACCGCAATAGATAGAAATATGCAGTTTGCGGGAATCATCTATTGACGTAGGGGGACCAATTGTTTTGAATTCAACGTTACATTCACATCCCCCTCCTTTCCCCCCCTGCCCCCAACTTAATTTTTTTAAATAGCAAGGTACCCCTTGTGACATATCAAATAAAAGAGCATAAAAAAAGAAAATGTTTGATGAAAAAAAATTGAAAATCGGTTCATAAATTTGTGAGATATTCCCCCCCTCACCCCCCCGGAACTTAATTTTTTTTTAATAGCAAAGTACCCCTTGTGACATATCAAATGAAAGAGCATGAAAAAAGAAAATTTTTGGTGAAAAAAAATTTAAAATCGGCTCATGAATTTGTGAGATAATCACCCCCCTTTTCCCCTACCCATAACTTGATTTTTAATAGCAAGGTACCCGCCCTTGTGACATATCAAATGAAACATAAATTTCACCAAAATTTTTCTTTTTTCATGCTCTTTCATTTGATATGTCACAAGGGGTACTTTGCTATTAAAAAAAAAATTAGTTCCGGGGGGGTAAGGGGGGGGAATATCTCACAAATTTATTAACCGATTTTCAATTTTTTTTCATCAAACTTTTTCTTTTTTCATGCTCTTTTATTTAATATGTCACAAGGGGTACCTTGCTATTTAAAAAAATTAAGTTGGGGGCAGGGGGGGAAAGGGGGGGAATGTGAATGTAACGTTGAATTCAAAACAATTGGTCCCCCTACGTCAATAGATGATTCCTGCAAACTGCATATTTCTATCTATTGCGGTTTTTACATAAATAAAGATGCAAGTTTTTAAAAAAACACCCTGTATATATATATATATATATATACATATATAAAAATTTGAACGAATAGTGTTTTTGGCCTCTGGGGACATCAAAATGAAAAAGTAAATCGGTCCCGGGTCTAGGTCTTACCGTGCCACCTACGGCAATAGCTACTTCCCTATAGGGAAATTCGCTAAAACCACCAAAGATATTGTGTTACCATAGACATTTTATGAAACTTCAAATGGCAATGAAATAAACAAAATCAAAAACATTCGGAAAAAGAAAAAAAATATTATTAATTCCTTTTCTTGAAAACGTACGTTTTTAAATTTTTACTCACCTACAGAATCTGATTTTTTAAATTTCTAGATATACTTGATTGTGAGAACAGAGGAATGACAAGTAATTAGATGGAAACAATTCTAAATTGAAAAGAACATATGTTTACAAAGAAAAGGCAGTGCTCTAAATTGATATTTTTTAACAATTTAAAATCAATAGGTTTGGTACCTACCGTACTCATAGTTTGCTGATACAGGCAAGGTGACAAAGTGTGTGTTTAGTGAAATGTCAATAAAGCTTAGTATGAATTCAGTAAATTACCCAATTTTAATCCAAATAGTTCGGTAAACAGGACAAATTGAAGCAGTTTACTCCATAAGGATAATAGCCTAAGCATTTTAAATTCACAGGTTTTGTAATTTCCTCTGTAGCCTTTATAGGCTTATAGCAGGTTTCAACACTAAATTATTTTTGTAAGCTCTACAAGATGGGAAGAAAAGAAATAGCAGCAAAGTTATGGTTTGAGGTTCAAAAATGGTGGAAAATCTATTCACCCCATATAACCCAGTTCCCAGTTCCCACACAGTAGTCATAGTCCCACTGCTGGATTGCAAAGCGATTGAATAAATGTGAGTTTACATAATTGTACCAAATTTAATCATAATCGGATGTTTTTTACTCGAGTTATCGATCTGAAGGACATATGTTTAGCCTGTTATAAATAAATTTGACCGGATATGGTCCAAAATCCGGTCCATCAACATCAAAACAAAAAAGTTGATCGGTCCTGGGTCTATGTCTATCGTGAGACATGCTATACTATATGTAATAACGTCTTCCTTATATGGAAAACTCGCTAATAACACTTCTAGCACATCGTACATCTCAAAAAGATGTTAGCCAAGACCGGGACGGACGTCACAGCAGGGGACAGACGATGACGTCAAAGTGACGTCACGACGCTATCGACCCCAGTGGGAGGGGGGGGCTCCTGCCTTCCCATGAATGCTATCACCATATTATGTAACATTAACTTTAGCAATTCCTCCCCTAAATAGATTTTAACAAACAAATCCAATAATCATATTCTATTTTTAAGTATCTAAGTAGGCATAC